GCTTGCCTCGTCAACAATGATCTCGTTAAACTCCGGGGTTTCTCCCTCCAATAGATGTAAAAAAAAAAAAAAAAAAACAAACAAACAAAAAAAAAACAAAAAAAAAAAACAAAAACATTTTAGGGTGTGTTTGGTTCGCATATCGGAATCGGAATAGGAATGAGTATCAAATACTTGATAATGATAATGGATTTTTGTGAAAGTATTTTGCATGTTTGGTAGAAGGGTGGAATAATGGGATGAAACCTTTATAAAATAAGGGAATGAGTTTTTCCATTAATGAGATATTCAAAACCCATAGTAGTGTTTTAAAAATCAGTTAACCAAACAATAACAATCACTTTCATACCCATACCTGAGTGCTAAACCTACCAACCAAACACACCCTTAGAAACTCTTAATTAAATACTATCAGACTTTTAACGGGGCATTTGGTTGGAGGGAGAGAATTACGTGGGTAATGAACTAAAATTTCATGGGAGATGAATTACTGGGAATAAAGTTGGAATTTAAATTCCAGTGTTTGATTTACCGGAATAAAATTACTGAGAATTTCAATTTCAACGTTTGGTATACATGTGAATTGAAAGGGAATAAGTAGTATAAAGTCCAAAATATCTATTGTTGTTGTCAGACATCAATTTTAAGTTAAAAAAAAAAAAAGAGGGATAATTTTGTCTCATCATTATCTTTTTTTTTTCTTCCTAAAATTCATGGAATTAAAATCCCAAAGGAGCATGAGATTTTAATTCCATGAATTGCAATTCCTTCAAACCAAATTAAAGAATTTAATAGTCTTTAGAATTAGATGGAATTATGAAAATTAAGTGAGAATGAAATTAAATTTTCTCAAACCAAACGCTCAGAAAAGTTTGGATCAAATACTACTTGCCGTATAAATACTTCTAAAAAAATTTGTAATTAAATATCTTCAAAATTTTAAAGTATATAAAAAGTCTTTAAAAGTTTATAAAATTTGTGAGAACGTTAACATGTTTTTGGGGCACATGTGTTATTTCATCGAAGTTCAGGGGTAAGAACTTAATTTCCCGTCCATTAGGCAATTGGCTAACTATGAATAGGGGTGGGAATAGGCCAGGCCCCTACCAGGGGCCTATGGCCTGGCCTGTTTAGGGCCTGGCCTGGCCTGGCCTGTTTAGTTAAAAGGCCAGGCTTAGGCCTAGTTAATAGCCTATTTAGTTAAATAGGCTTAGGCTTATATGTGAAAGCCTGGCCTACGAGCCTGCAGGCCTGGCCTGTTTATGTATATAATATATATAAAATATATATTTAATATTAATTATTTTATATTATATTTTATAACTAATATTTTGTAATAATTACAATATAACCCAGTATATATATATATAAGTATAAAGTCAATATCTGATAATCCTAGGACTGTCTGCGTTTGTGGCTTTGTGGACACAAACTGTCATGTACTCGTTTCTTCCCCAAAAATCGAAATCTTCGAATCGACTAACGCGACTCCGGCGAGGCTGCGGGCGGTGAGGCGGCGTGGCGAGGTGGCGACCGGAGTTGGACAAGCGGCGACCGCAGTTGGACGACTCAGACTGCTTTTCTGCTATCTGCTTGGTGGCGACCGGCGACCGGCGATCGGAGGTTAGTTTTATTAATATACGTTTGTTTGTTTAATTGTTTATTGAAGTAGACACTCAGACCTGCGTTTCATCACCTGTTTATTGAAGTAATATGCATACTGCCTTGACTGTTATTTAATATACACAGGCCTGAGTGTTGTTTAAGCAGAAATATGTGGCCACGATTATCAATTTATCACACACACTCTGACAATTATCAGAATAATAAAAACCAATAGCATGAACCCATACACGTAATAAACCTATTGAAAGCAAAGATCAAGTAATGAATCTGCTAATTAAAGGACACAGTGATTGTATATGGTCAACAAAGTAATTGACAGTAGTTATTATTTAGTTCAAATAACTAAATAAATAAATAACTAAATAAATAATGTTATGCACTTATGCACTAATAAATTGATTAGTTATACACTAATAAGGAACTGCAAGTCTGCAATGAGCAATTTAATTAGTTTATTACTATAAACAATTATTACTCAGTTTATTGATTAGTTAAGCAGACTAATAAATTGATTAGTTATAATATTAATTATTATAAACAACTAAACATAATTAGTTTTTTTTTTTTTTACTATAATTAGTTTATTACTATAAAGTTTATAGTTTAGTTGTTTATAATAATTAATATTAGATACTTAGATGTTACTTTGTTTATGTGTTTTAATGGCTGAATAATTATAAAATTATATAGGATGACAAGTAACAATACAAATGAATCTATTCCTGAAGAAGTGAATGTGCAAGTTACAACTACAACTCCATCAATTTCTTCAAGTCAACCAATTGAAAATAACAATTCTGAAGAAGTCAATAGGGTTGATAATGATTCAATCTTAACAAAAAAGCGGAAAAAAACATCTCCGGTATGGAATGATTTTGAAGAAATTGAACTTGCTAATGGTACAAAGAAAGCAGTGTGTTTGTATTGTAAGGAAAAATACTCTACTGGTGGAAAGGGTGCAAGCACTAGCCATCTTAAGAGGCACTCAGAGATTTGCCTGCAACGGAAGTTGCATATCTCTCGAGAAAATAAACAAACAACGATACAATTTCGGCGCCTAGTGAATGTGGTGGTAATCCCTTTATTGTTCCTAATGCTAAATACTCCAATGAAAAGATGAGAGAGATTATTGCTAGTGGAATTATGGTGCATGAGCGACCATTTAGCATCGTAGAGGATGACATGTTCATGTGGGCTTTTGAATATGCAAATCCAAATTTTAGAAGAGTCAGTCGTAAAACAACAAGAAGTGATTGTTTGCAATTGTATGAAGCTGAAAAGAATACTTTGAAAAGGATTTTGAATAATGTGAGTAAGGTTAGCATTACAACAGACATGTGGAAGTCAAGTCACCAAGTAGTTGAGTACATGGTTGTGACAGGTCATTTTGTTGATGCAAGTTGGAACCTTCAGAAGAGAGTTTTGAATTTTGTCAAAGTGCCTCCTCCTCGACGAGGAACAGATATAGCAAATGCTATTTTCAAGTGTTTGAGAGGATGGGGCATTGAGAATAAAATATTCTCAGTAACTGTTGACAATGCATCTTACAATGACTCTTGTGTTAGAAGTTTGAAAGAAAACATGTCATTGAGCAGTAAGTTAGTACTTGATGGTCAACTTTTTCATGTTAGATGTTGTGCTCACATTCTGAATTTGTTGGTGCAAGATGGCCTTAACACTATTAAAGATGTCATTCATAATGTTCGTGAAAGTGTGAAATTTATAAATTCTTCAGATGCAAGGCTAAAGTCATTCCATGAAGTTGTTGAATTAAAAGGATTGAAAGAAAGGAAACTTATTCTTGATTGTCCAACAAGATGGAACTCCACATTCTTGATGTTGTGTACTGCAAGTAAATTTAAGCATGCATTTTCAGATTACAATGAAAAAGAGCCCCATTATAAGTATGCACCATCATTTGAGGATTGGGACAAGATTGAGAAGGTTTGTAAACTTTTGGAGGTTTTTAATGATGCAACTCATGTCATCTCAGGTAGTGATTACCCTACTTCTAACTTGTATCTTGCTGAAATTCAAAGGGTGAAAAAGGTTATTGATAATGCAGCTGAGTGTTTTGACATGTTCATGCGTGAGATGGTAAAACCTATGAAAGCAAAATTTGACAAATATTGGGGGGAGTGTAATTTGTTAATGTCTATTGCATGTGTTTTAGATCCAAGGATGAAATTAAATGGTATTAAGATAACTTTTCCCTTATTGTATAAAACACCAAGTGATGTTGAAAAGAATGTGGAGAAGGTGAAAAGGGCATTAGAAGATTTATATCTTGATTATGTGAACTTGTATAGTCAAGATGCTTCTTCTACTAGTGGACATAGTGAAGTCAATGTTGAAAGCAGCACTCTGGTTGATGGTGGACAACAAATGGATAAAGGGATGCAAGAATTATTGAGTATGGTCTACCAAAGTCAATCAATTCCTCTTACGAAATCAGAGTTGGAGACTTATCTTGAGGAAAATCTTTTTATTCCTTCTTCTACTTCATCCTTTTGTGCCTTGGCGTGGTGGAAAAATAATAGTCCAAAGTTTAAAGTTTTATCAAAGATGGCTTCTGATATACTAGCTGTTCCTATTTCAAGTGTGGCATCTGAATCCACATTTAGTGCCGGGGGAAGAGTCATTGATGAATATCGTGCTAGCTTAAATGAGGAATCTATTGAAACTCTTATTTGTGGTGGGGATTGGCTTCGTAACAAGTACGGGCTGAAGAAAAAACAAAAGGTAAGAATGTACTTGTTACTTTAATATTTTATATTATTTTATATTACTGCTTGTTACTTTAATTATGAGAACTTGAACTTGTAATTGACTTCATTATTTATTCTCAATTTTTTTCATTGTGTAGGGAGATTCTGGACAACAGGAGATTATGTTGAAGCCATGACTTGTTTCATTTTATGTTTGAATGCTATTGTTGTTATTATGTTTAATGTTTCATGTTTGTATTGTGAACTTATGATTTCTGTTGTTGTTAAACTTGTGAGTTGTGAATTTGTGATGGACTTTTGTATTATGGACATGTAGACTTGATGTTATCAAACTTGTATGGTTTTTGTATTATGAACTCGTACTTATTAAACTTGTAGGTGTTGTTTGACATTTTATTATAAAATATGAACTTAGTTTTGTCATTTATGAATATTGGTTGATTCACTTGATTGTAACTTAATAATATAATTATTTTTTATAGGTATATTCATATATATATAATATTTAAAAGGCTTTAAAATGTAGGCTTTAAATAGGCTTTGAGCCTATTTAAATAGACTAAAAGCCTATTTAGAACCTATTTTGAAGCCTTTTTAAAAGCCTATTTACTAAATAGGCTTTTAAAAAGGCTTCAGGCCAGGCCTACTGTAGGCTCAGGCTTGAGCCTAAAAAAAAGCCTACATACAGGCCTAGGCCCAGGCCCAGGCTTTAAGTTTTCCTAACAGGCCCAGGCCTAATTTTAAAAAGCCTGGCTCGGCCTGGCCTATTTCCACCCCTAACTATGAATTACGAAACAGTCGTTTTCCACTTTTCCAGCACAAGCTTTGTCCTCTCACTCTACCTTCATCGCGATTTAGGGTTTCTCCGTCTTGCAGAGTCGCAGCTTTGGAAATGGTAAACGCTCCCTCTATATCCTCCTTGTACTCTTAATGCATATATTCATGCGCCCGCGAATTCTATGTTTCTTAGTGGTTGGATGTTAATTGGCCGATATTTAAAAGACGTCCTTTCATTTTTTTTTTTTTTTTTTTTTTTGGTTCTTTTCGCAGGCTGATTCTCCTCGCAAAAGGTACAATTCTACTATTGTTATTGGTTTTTATTTATCGTACATGTATGTATTGGAATAACAACCTGCTTTGGTTATGCCCAATTTTCTGGTTAGGGCTTTGTTTTTGTTGTTGAAGCTCCCGGAATTGAGGAGTTTTATGTGTCGGAAAGTTGCCGATTAATAAGATTTTGAATTTGTATATTTTATAGATGGATTACTTGGGAGTTTTATGGTTAGTGGAAATAATCAATGAAAGAACCTTAAGTCTCTGTTTAGTGTTTACTTGTCTTCGGAAATTTATATTTCTTTTGAGCAATTTTGTGAGTGTTGAATCTATTGACTTAAATGTATTCAATTTCTCTACAATTTATGGTTTATGTTGAAGATATGAATGCTATAAGCTCTGGATCTGGCAGGTATTCGCCATCTCCTTCCCCCTGGGAGGAGAAGTCTCGCTCTAGATCCAGGTCTCGCTCTAGGTCATATTCAAGGCAAAGGGGAAGGTCCAGAAGTCGTGACAGGTTAAACTATGTCTCTATTCTGTCTGTCTCCTTGCTGATGCATAATAATTGATGGCCTAAAGCTACATGGTCTTTAATGTGTTTGTAGATAGTCTTAAATTACTTTTCTTTATTTCTTGGTTAACTGTATAGAAATGATGCTAATAATCCTGGAGACACACTCTATGTCACTGGTTTATCTACTAGAGTGACAGAAAGGGATCTTGAAGAGCATTTCTCTAAGGAGGGAAAGGTTGGTGTTGTAAATTAGTTTCTAATGAGATTTTGTTTTACTTGGTGCCTTTTTCTTTAAGTAATTTGATTCTTGGGAGTGGGATGGTCTGTGGAGGATTGCAGGGTCAGCTCCTTTCTTTGCAAAAAAAATGTGCATTTGATTGCCCCGTCATTTTCTCAATAATTTTTAGTATCCAAGCTTTATTACCTTTGATTCAACTAACAACTACCTCATCAATTTTGTATTTCGGGTGTTAATCATTGATCAGTTTTTTCTTTTGATTTTAACTCTAATATCTTTTACTTATACACTAGGTAAAATCAGTGTTTTTGGTTGTGGAGCCACGGTCTCGCATCTCTCGTGGTTTTGCTTTTGTAACTATGGATAATGATGATGATGCCAGTCGCTGTGTCAAGCACCTCAATCAGTCAGTTCTTGAAGGCCGATACATAACTGTGGAGAAGGTAAAAGCTATATGTAAACAGAGTGCTGAAGAGTGGCCTACATGCTTGTTTTCCTGTCTTCTTGTTGTGGATGTATTCTGACTATATACAGAACACATTGTGTCAGCTTTGTTGGCAGCAATCAAAGATGACCAGTTCTTCCATTGCAACATTTTATTCACACAGCTTGATCACTGGGCAGCTAAAACAGCTTTTCACATGCATCTGATCAACTAAACATAGCAACTATTTTGACCAACAACTATTACAACCTCAGCAAATAGTTTCAACTCTCAACTAATCAACAGTCAATAGCAACAATCTAATGAGGCTTTTATGGTATCTCATGTCTGGCATCGGTTTCTGTTTTTCATATTATTTTTGCATTTTATGGTAAAACGTTAGGACATTTTTGTTGCTAACAGTAGACTTTGTGTTCATGTGGAGGGCTATGCTTTTGCTTATCATCATATTTTGTGAAATGCATTTTCTTCATCCATTTGTGTGTATACTGAAGATTATTTTTGACTGGTCTCCATTCCCTTTCTGACATTTCTTTTTGATAGAAAAAGCAGATCTTTTGATGTTAATACATTAGAAACTATAGAGTAGAACTCTGCCTAAAAAATTTTCCCCCAATTTTTAAGATTGTATAATGTGTAATTCTTCAGATTTATACGTATCTTGTGTTTTCAGTCCCGAAGGAAACGGGCAAGGACCCCAACACCTGGGCATTATCTTGGGCTCAAGAGCAGCAGGGGCGAGAGTAGGATGCCTTTATATATATATATATATATATAGTATCTATATAATGTTTATAAAATATTTCTTCATTGTGAAAATTTGATTATATACTGATTGGTTTGGGTCATAGGTTATCGTGGTGACCGTGGAGATCGTGGAGACCGTGGAAGGTACCGTGGCTACAATGACTATGGCCATCGAAGGTCTCCAAGACGTTCTCCATATCGAGGTGGCCGAGAGCGAGATCATTCTCCTAGGCCTTCACCATATGGGGGAAGGTCAAGAAGGGATCGGTCGAGGTCATATTCTCCTTATCGCAGTCTTGAAAGGAACTATGCTCGTGGTAGATAGGACCTTTCGTCATGGATCTGTCATATTTTCTAGCTGAGTTTCTGTCTGATTGAAGTCTGGTTTGAATTTCTGAATACTGATGCATGTTTTGTGCCTTTCTAAACTTCCATCTTCCCTGCCTTGAACTCTTGAAGGTTTGAACTAAAAAATGGTAGTGACATCGAAGCTGAATTGTTACATTGTTGTGTATATTGTTGTTCATGTACGGTGTATCTATATAGTTATTGTTGTGATTATTATTTGGCGTATTAAAGTAAAATGATTATATTGTACATAAAAGTTAATTTTGAATCATGTTGATATTATATACCACACTTTTAATCAAAATAACCAGAGACACCGTTTGGACATATTCTTAGCAATTTAGCACTTCCATAAGTTAAGTTGGTGTGAGTATTTAGTTTGGTAAGCATAAATTTTTAAGCTTCGCCGAGTATTGACTTTTTTTATTTAAGTCTGTAAATTTAGATTAGTTTATCTTATTGTAGTCTTTTGTCAGTACTAATTTACTTCTTTTGTGATCTTTTGCTAGATAGGGATTGTTTTTGTAGTTTTTTGTTGGGTAGGGTTTCTTGTTGTTGTCTTTTGTTGCTTAGGGTTCTTCGTTGTGATTTTCTACTGACTAGGATTATAATATGAGTACTATCATCTATAGAGGGTTCTTTGGTGCGGTTTTGTACTGACTAAGATTATAATACAAGTGCTATCATCTATAGAGCACCCGCATATTTGAGTAGCGGCAAAACATTTCTTAAGGTCATATACTCTTAATAAATCAAACACCATTTTGTAAGGTAATTTGATTTTTGTTAACATTATAGTGCGGGTAGGTTTTCTAGAAATTTGATTTTTGTTACACAAGTTAAGGAGGTAACACTGGCTTTCGATAGAGCACTAGGGCAGTACCCAGCAGGTAATTCAAGCAATTGGAAGATGCTCGTATGGGAAAAGTCCAAGGAAGAGTTCGTCAAAATCAATGTGGATGGATCGGTGAATCTGCTGACAAACAACGCATCTTGTGGGGGCATTATCCGAGACTGCAAAGGAGACTGGAAGCAGGGCTATGTGTTTAACACGGGTATTGTACCCCATTCGAAGCGGAGGCATGGGCACTCCTCAAAGGAATACAGGTAGCAGTTCATATGGTTTGCAAGAAGATTACACTCGAATCAGATTCAACCACGCTGGTTAATTACATGCTTAACACCAGAAGACCATCAACAGCTGCACATAATGTCCTAGAAGGTTGCAAAAAGGAGCTGAGAAGATTTGATGCAGGGGAACTCACTGTCATAGCTCGAGAACAAAACTACGCAACCGACAATCTAACCAAACTAAACTACGCAGCCGACAGTCTAGCCAAACTTGCCCATAACTTCCCAAAGGGCATCCATGCCTTAGATAACCCTCCTAAGAGGATGGAGAGTATTATAGAGGACGATATTGCTGGACGGCCAGCTTCGCGTCATATTTGTAACACAAATTAACTCATGTTGTCCTTTTTTGGGTATCCCATTCCAATCTTCCATGATATAAAAAAAAAAAAAAAAAAATTACAGTTGGCTAAAGCCAGTAAAAGCAACTCCGCCCAGCCCAAGTGACAAGCGTGAAAGTCTATCCAAATAAACCTTCTCCTTCTTCTGTGTCTCAGTCTACACAAACAATGTCAGCTCTACTAAACCTCCAAACCCCCAAGCTATACTCCATTTTCTCCCCCTCTCTTTCTTCACACAAGCTCCCTCATCCTCAATTCCCATCTCTACCCCTAACCTTCACCAGAAAGGCTTCCATATGCCTCTCAACTTCCCGTCACTCCGGCCTCGTCCAAGACGAAGACGAAGAACCGATTATAGGCGATTGTGTTGTTTTCGAAGAAGGCATTTTCGACGACCCGTATCTCCGCCCTAGCCCGAGAAGCGGCCGCGGTATTACTGGGCAGCAGAAGAAGAAGAAGATGAAGGATTCGGATGAAGTGGAGCCTGAGAATCTAGTTCCGGAGAAGTGGATTGAAGTCCAGAGGGAAGTTAATATTACAAAGAAGGAGAAGCGGCGGCTCGCGCTGGAAATGGAGTTCGGGAGGCGCGTGGAGAGGAGGCGGCTTTTGCTCAGACCTATTCCCGATGGCAGCAGGGCCAGCGTAGAGGAGGACTACTCGAAAGTAGTTGATCAAAAGCTGAAGCAGTTAAAGCCGATCCTACTTGATAACCCCGTGTTTCCTGAAGAGGAAGGGAATAGTGCGAAGAGCGACGAGGAGTTAAGTGGAGGCGAAGAAGAGTTCTCTGTTTCGAATAGCAGAGTGGCGCCGAAGAACCCGAGACGAGCTGTGTACGGCGGCGGTTTGGATGATATAAGAAACTTCTTCAATAGTGAGAATTATGATCCTACTGAAACCAAGACATCTGAAGGTATAGCTCTTAGTCTCTTCGTGTTTTCTTTCCCTGATTTTATTTCAGTGTATTGATTTTGCAATTGTGTAGGCCGTCGTAAGCTATTCTCCAAGGAGGAAAAACTTCTGTTGAATAACAAGTTCCCTGATCTGGCAGTTGCTACCTCTGTGAGTTCCCAACATCTCATCCTAAATCGAATTCTTCAACTCTTTTTCTTTTATATTTAATGTATGTAAATACTCATTTATATCTGTAAACATGTTTAGATTGGAAATGTAATCAGTTATATTGATTGGAATTTTAATAAGCATGTACTGATTTTGAAATTCCCTAGCCCTCATGGCCGACACCCAGGCCGATAGGATAGTGGAGGGGTAAATCACGGTGACTTGTCTCTGACCTATTGGCTGGGAGGACCACTGCATGCCCACAAGGAGGGGTGTCCCATAGGATAGAGGATGGGTAAATCACATCACCAACCCTTTGGTTGGGAAGACCAGTACTCCGGGCCTGATAGGATAGTCGATGGGTAAATCACGGTGACTTATCATTGACCCATTGGCTGGGAGGACGTGCCCACAAGGAGGGGTGTTCCATAGGATAGTGGATGGGTAAATCACGGTGACTTGTCACCAACCCATTGGTTGGGAAGACCAGTGCGGCCCCCCAAGAAGCCTACCATATTGGGTGAAACTCTCGCACTACATTTGCCAGGCTTGATCCTGTGTCATTGCCCACAATGTAGCACCCAGGAACCAACTATTGACAGAGTTCTTTCTTCTTTCCCTCCCTTGTTGAGCAGCCAGCTCATTCTCTACCTATGTATTTGTCATCTAATATGGCACTGAAACTTTAAGGGCTGCTAATTGAATTACTCTGTATCTTATTTGTGATGTTGGACCTTGCATTCTTTGTGAAGATTTTCACAGTTGTTTGGACGAGCCATTTGTCAAATTATGTTTGGGAGAATGGAAGATATACTGACTTGTTACCTGTGTATAAAATTTCTTCATTCATTACTCAAGTCTCACTAGCCAGATCAAGATCTATTATACGTGGATATTGTAAGTTACAATGAATATCTAGATGGATTTAGGTTCATTGGATAATGAAACTAGCTTTGCTTTCATTGCATATGAACACGATTGTGTCTTCATTGCTAACTTTGTTACAAGAGTATGGATTTGAGTAACAAAGTCGTTTTAATCCATTAAATGTTTAATTAATAGTTTAAAAAAAAAAAGAAGGAATAGCCTGTAATAATGGAAATGCCACTAGTTGTAATTGAGGCTGTTTGAATTCTTCATGTGTTGGGTTTACTGTCCAGATTATTTTGAACACATTATTTGTTTTAAATAAAAAATAATAAGTAATTCAAAATTATTGCTTCTCATTTCAACTGCTTCTGGCTTGATATTTGGACCAATGAAGCTTGATTACTTATCCAGTTCCATGTTAATGGTGCGGGTTTCTATATGCACTGTTATACTGATTTGTGGTTTCTTTTGATGTGCTTCAGGGAAAATGGCAACCATTCCATACTTTTGCTGCCTCGGGAGAGTTCTACTTCAGCAGATCTTTGTTAAAACACATCGTTGATGTCAATCTTCCTGACAATGTATGTTAGACAAGAACAGTGTTACAGACTCTTTCCGCTTCTCTGTACATTTGACAAGTAGTAGTAATGCTGCTTTAGGAATATGACATAATGACATTGGATTTTATAAATCTGTCTTGCAGGATGGTTTGACTGCAATTCACAGAGCGATCCTTGCGAAAAAGCACGCGATTTTCAACTTTCTTTTGAGAGAATCTGCAAATCCCTTAATTCGTGATAAAGTAAGTGGGGAAGTATACTATATGCTTGATATTCTTAATTTGTGCTCTGGGTCAAAACATAGTTTAATCATTTAATTGCATATGCTGGTATATTATATACATATATATAATATATATAGACACACCAGTTGGAGTAGGGTTTTGTTTTTGGCCTTTGTCATCAATTTTTTTCTTAAGCTAGAGGAACATGCTTGTGGAATTCTGTTATTGAGCACTAAGATTTTCATGCATTTGAATTCTCTCTTCTTGCTGATAACAGGATGGAGCAACATTGATGCATTATGCTGTTTGGACAGCCTCTAGCCCGATGATAAAGATACTTCTCTTGTATAATGTTGATATAAACCTCCAGGACGAAGTATGCATATAACTATCATCCCTTTAATTTATAGCTTACCAATGTGTATTATTTACTAGGGAATGCTTTCTCGTTTGCAGTATGGCTGGACACCTCTTCACCTTGCTGTTCAGTCCCGGAGAACAGATGTAGTGAAACTTTTGTTGTTAAAAGGAGCTGACAAGACTTTAAGAAACCGGGTAAGGAACGTTTTGTTTGAGTTTTTTCTTTTCCGAGTTAATACCTCCAATGGTCCTTCGAGTATTGTGCTTTTACCAGCAAACGTCCTCCGAGTATCAAAAAGTGACTAGTAAATGTCCTCCAAGTATAAAAAAAATGACCACATGTGGTCTTCCGTTAGCAAAGACATGAAAGTGGCTTTACATTTATGACTCACTCAGTTTACCCTTCAATTTAACGCCACTTTCACACATTTGCTAACGGAAGACGGGTGGTCACTTTTTAATACTCGGAGGACGTTTGCTGGTAAAAGCACAATACTCGAGGGACCATTGGAGGTATTAACTCTTTCTTTTCCCTAGTCCTATGTTCCATGCTTTTGCATTCTAAGGTATCTAGGTTACAGTGTTACATTTACAGTACCATATCTACCTGAATATTAGATCAAAATCTCTTAGATGGAAGTGCATATCGTTTATTTGTCTGCTCCATGAAGATTTTGTGCCATTATCCATGTCAAGTGATTGCACACGCTCATTCTGTTGCAGGATGGTTTGACTCCAATTGATCTTTGCCTCCATTCGGGAAGGAACATCAGAACTTACGAACTTCTTAAATTGCTGAAACAACTTCCTAACAATAGTAAGAAAATACTGGCAAGCTGAATTGCTGCTGATTGAATTCGCTAGACAGATAGCCAACTCGAAGCCACTGGGATCAGCATTGTTGTCCAGCTCTGATCCCAAGTGCAATTTTATTCAGTTGGTCTTGTGATGGTTATACCAAGAATGGGTGTACAAATGACCAGAAATGTGAACCAGAGAATACAAATAATAGTTAGTTATGCTAGGGAAAGAGGTTGGACTGTCTTGGTAAGACATTTTTCATGTATCTTAATTTGGTATTGTATATATCTTAAGCATATTCACTAACTTAGTTTATCTTGATTTCAATATAGTTTCATTGTCCACATAAATTACCCTTTAAGCTCCCATCCATGGCTCCTTATGTCAACCATGCATGGCCGACCCTGAGCATGTGCAAAGTGAGTGATCGCATAGACTCGTTTATCTTAAACTACGAGCAGGCGTTGGTTGATGCATGTGCAAAGTGAGTGACCGCATAGGGTCCCTACCTGGACTCGTTAATCTCAAACTCCATCTCAAAGTACGAGCAGGGTGTCGGTCGACCCTGAGCATGTGCGAAGTGAGTGACTGCTTAGGGTCTCTACTTGAACTCGTTTATCTCAAACTACGAGCAAGGCGTCGGTGGCTTTCGACTTTCGAGTAGTCATTCCTAACATAACTTTGTTTGATTCATGGAAATGTTTGTTCTCTTAGAGGGAAACTTGGACCGCGTTTGGCTGGATTTCAATCAATACTCCCATGCCAAATTGTCCTGCTTGTACCTATCCTTTTAATGTTGCATTTCGTACCACCATACGAAATTGGTACCTGCTAGAGTAGCTACACTCCTTTTTCTTGTCTAAACGTTCTTAACTCACCTACTCTATATAGTACATTTTCTTAATTAGTATATGTTGAAATTTCATATCCTATATGCAGCAATATTAGTTATGCCTATCTTTTAAGGACAACCTCAACTAAGTTGGTCGAACAATTAATTTGGTAACTATAAGGTTTTAAGTTCAGCATTCTGTGCGAAATGCCGGCCTATTGGTCTCGTTTCGGCTTGAGCCGACAGATGGTGACTGCTGGTTTTCTCAAAAAATTCAAAAAATTTGTTCTTGGTTTCTATTCATGTACTAGCTTTTCTCCTATAATTTGTTGGTGACCTTCTAGTTTAATATGTGAATATGTCACCTTGTAAAGATGTAAGTAGGTAGGCAACAAAGAATGACAATAATAGAGAGTGGGTAATTGAAATCCCTAAAGAGAAGACTTCTAAGAGTCCTTATAAGGGCAATAAAAATGCAATGTTTGGTGGTTAGACTTAGATAGAGGAAGAGAGAGAGAGCAATAAATGACACAAGTGAGGAGTTGGTTGGTGATCACGAGCAAAAGGCCATTTCCCTTTGCATCAGAGGTTGGTGTTTGATTCCCTGCTGCTGCTGGTTGGTTAGTTTTGCATTAAATTTCTTGGCCACTCTCTCTCTCTCTCTTTCTTTCTCCCTCCCTCTGCATGTATTTATGTATGACAGAGAGAAAAGAAAAGAGAAGAGGAGAGAAGAGAGATTCCCCTCATTTATGGCTTGGTTGGTACCACAGTCACAGTAGTGTCCCTCTGAGTGAGAAAGGGCAACGGCATAATGGCTCCTGGAATGGGCTTTCACCTTTTTATTTCTTGGCTTTTGGTGTTTATATATCAATTCAAGATATATATATAGATGTGCAGTTAGCAGCAATTGCAGCAGCAGCAGTTGTTGTTGTTGTGTATGTTTCATATGTTATTCGGAGATGACAAGTCGTGCCGTTTCATTTCGCTATGCTCCATTACACTCCAGCACCTGTCTCCGTGGTTTGCTCCATTAGCTCGAGAGGGTTGAATACTTGAATTGGTTACAGTGGGTAATTTTGTAAATGTAGCGTGCGTTATGATTGTCTTGTAACCTGAACGCTTCATTATTACAATTAATAAAAGATCTCTTTTGCTTCTGTGAACATAGGCTCTTGGTCGAACCACTTAATAAACTCTTTTTTCATTTTCAATTATGTTCTTGATATCTTGATCCCGTTTTTTAATAGTTCTTTTTTTAATTTCTTTTTTTTTTTTTTTTTTTAATTTCTAACTCAAAAGCAGTGGAAAATAGTGATGATGGCAATAGATAAACTAATCTATTGTATATTATTTGCAATAATATATAACTGTGGTAGTAAGTGATGGTCGATCAATAGATAATTATTGTTGATTGATATAATTAATGGTAATGGTGGATGAAACTGGTAGTGGCGGTGACAGTAGTGGCTGTTAAAATACACGAAAATAATAGTACATGTAAAAAAAAAAAAAATTAAAATTGAAGAAAATTATATAAAGCACGAGCCAACGGTAGATTAGTAAATAAGTATGTAGAATGAAGATGATGAAAACAAGTAGGTGGGCTAGCTTAAAGTTGGTAAGGGGTGAAACAACCATAATATAATAATTTTTGTGCAAGATTTTACATTGTAAATAGTTAATAGTTTTTAAATTCATTTATTATTTACCAACTTGTAGTTAGACTTTATTTCATTGGGCACTTTACTCACCTAATAGTCAAACATAACGATTAGGAATTATTATTGCTCACAAAAGGTAAATTTTTTGCCCCAAAAATTAGTATATAAATGGTTGATCATTTGATTTCAAGACCTAAGAGTGACGGTTCAAACTCTATCAATTAAATATCATTAGAGTTGGACTCTCCAATTTATAAAGTTGAGTATCACTACGTACTTGAGCCTTGAGGTTGTGAACACGGAAAACTAACCCCACCCCCTTGCAAATTGCACTAGGAAGACATTATCAGCCTCCAAACCACATCGAAGAGGTCAACCACACTAACAAGACTATATTTAACAAGCTCGACCAAAATAGAGTTGACAAGAATCAAATTCATGATATCTTCTTATATGAGAATGTACAAATTAGTACTGCGGTATTGCAATAAAAAGATTTGTTAAGTTGTCAAATGAAGTTGGTTTAGTGGATAAAAACAACTTCCTTAGTATTTGCGTAAACTACAAATTAATATTGCATGGTTGGCAATAATGCGGTTGTTATAAATACATTATTTCTAACCAAGAAGCCTGTTTTTCATTGTATCCTCATTTCCCTTAGAGTGAAAGGCACCATAAGCATCAGCAGCAGGTAGTTCAAAATTTTGTGTTATATATATATATATATATATATATATATATATATATATATATATGGAAGGGTTCAGGTGCATGTGGTGCTTTTCCTGCGGTTGTGTGGGTAGACTCACATTAAGCATTACACTGACCCACTTTAAATACATAACTGACGCACATTAAACACACAAATAAAATACATTCAAAACACAAACTCATGCACCTTATGCACTTAAGTCACGCATCTTAATAACAACCCTCACGCACCTTAAGCACAAAAACACACGCACCTTAAGTTTTAACAACAACTCATATTAAGTACACACTCACGTACATTAAGCACAAAACTCAAGCACCATAGGCACAAGACTCACACACCTTAAGTACAAAACTGACGCACATTAAGCATTACACACTCACGCACATTAAACACAAAGCTCACGCACCTTAAACACAAAACTCACGCACATTAAGTACAAAACTCACGCACATTAATCACCCGCACAACTGCACGGAAGACACTTACTGCACTGGAACTTAATTATATATATATATATATATATATATATATATATATAGGTTGAATGGCATCCTGTGTTTTCATGTTTTCTCTCCGAGAGAGAGAGGGAGAGGGGAGGGGGGTGGTAGAGAATTGAAAGAGAATGAAGAAGAAATAAATGCAGGAATGGCCCAGTGTTTGGGCTTTGGTAATCGCAGTTTTAAATGCACCCATACCATTCACACTCTCTATTACTATACTTCTGTGTACACTGTACAGTAACACTCTTCTCCCTCCTTAAATTCCCCTCAAACATTCTCAACCCTCCACTCACTCTCCTCCTCAGCTCCTCCTCCCTCTCTCTATATGTAATGATGAATATATTATCTCAGCTCACATTCTGTGTATATATTATGAAACAGAAACTCTGATATTGGCCTGGTTCACTCAGAAGCTGTGTGTATCTATATGTATAAGCATTGTAATTACATGCATATATATATATATATATATATATATATATATATATATATATATATATATATATATATATATATATATATATATATAAAGGTTTTGAGAGTTTTGTTGCTTGATATATATGATCTTGCTTTGATTGAGCCGTGCCAATATCTCAGTTCTTTTTCATCTCTTCTTGCCCTTTTCACTCCACTAAGGTTTGTTCCTCTCCACCTTAATTATTCTTTCAAAACATTCCACCTTGCTATCCTTAGGATTTGTTTAGCTCAAAGTGAAATTTGCAGTCACTATCTAATTGTATATATTAAGTAAATTTTATTTGTATGTAGTAGTCTAAAAATCACACAAAAATAAATCGTACTAATTAAAACAGTAAAATGATTTGTGCTCACAACACAACCAATAGTGTGTTAGCAAGAATTGAAATATACTACCCAAGGGTGTGGGTTAGGGGTTTCTTGTGTGTGTGATTTTTTTTTTTAATGGTATATATGCTTTCTTACTTTTAATTTGTGATATCAAAGAGTTTAATTAAGGTTATTCTTTCAGTGGAGGATTAGTCCGTGTGTCCAATAATGAAAATTCTGGGCTACACTCAAAAAAAAAAAAAAAAGTCTAATCAAGGTTATACTTGTAAAATTATATTATTATTATTATTATTATTATTATTATTATTATTATTATTATTATTATCATCATCATCATTAATTTACTACTTTTCTGGCTCAAAAATAGTTTGCCATTATTATATTCTTATGTTGTTATTGTTGTAGAGTTATTTTTATTATATTTTATTTATCAAAATAGAAAATAGAATAGTTAAACTTATTTCTATAGCTAGAATATGGTGTAGTAGATTTGTGCTGTTTTTGTATATTGTGCTTGCAAGACTAATACCTAACCCCCCACCCTCCAATTTAATTACCATCAGGCCAGGTTTACCATTAAGAGTATAATTAGATGAATAGTTATTTCAGAGCAATCTCCACAGTTGATTTGGTAATCACAATATTTCATGTTTGATTTTGATCTTGAGAGTTGTCTATCGAGCTTCTCGATTTGGACCTACCAAAATTAAACACTCGGCATGGTGCAAATGAATGTTGTAATTGTTTATTATTTTTATACATATATTGTGGAAAAGAGATCTGGTGCCCAAATAGGCAAATATGCCTCCAACCAATCATTATATTATGGATCATGACTCACATTACACATTGAACTACTAATATATATGTTCATTTTTAATATATATATTGAATATTCGTTATTAGTGTATTACATAT